TGCACTGATTTATTGTCTCACGTTGTTGCTGATTATGACGGTGTTGATGATCATAATTTAAGGTGTGTGTGTGTGTGTGCCCGTATTGGTTTCCCAAAAGCGCGTTATTGACTCGCAAAGCAAAGTAAAAAAAGCTTTAGTAGTACGCTTCAATGGCAAGATAATACTAAGCTGATTCCACATTGAGCAGTTTGCAAAAGCAATAAAGGCAAAATAAATAACCTCAAAAAAAGCAACAAATACAACTTAAACGAGTATTATTGTAGAAATGTCGAAAAACTTTGACGAGTTATTCAAATGTGCTCACACTCACGAAAACCACTGCAATTGTGTGTGAGCGGTATGTTATGAAAGTATGTCTGTGCGTGCTTATTTTGTGATATTTTTTGCGTTGCGATTTGTGTTCGCACGACGGCGATGATCTGCGAAAAGCAAACCGCTGCCACACGTTAACGAGACTATTTTGATGACAAAGCATAAGCTCGGAGCAAGAACACAAAATTTCTTTGCTGGCGCGATATGGTTGCGCGTTGAGCAACACAGCGCTAGAACATAAGCGTTTTCGGCGTTTGCGAGAGAGTAAAACGCTCAAAATTTGCAAACAGCAATTGAGCGCGAAGCAATATCACCTGTCATGCTGAACTCGATACTGCGGCGATCAGCGTTGCCATGTCGGTGCGATTGGAATGGAAGTTGTGGTTTTGCAAAAATTGTTCATAAATTGCCGTTTTTTACGCATATTTTTATTACAATTTCTTTAATTTTTTTACTTCTTATTATTAAATTTTGATTACTACATCTGTTTTTTTTTTATAACAGTATGTTTTATTTTTTACATAATTTTGAAAGAAAATCAAAAAAAAAAAAGAAGCTAGCTCTACAGTAACTGGGAGGTCGCGTAGTGGAGTAGCCCATCGGCAAACAATATATTGTTATTATTTCTAAAATAAATCATTCTCTCAAATGTAGCACGGCAACAAATATCTAGTAAACTACGTACTTTTTATTTAAAAATATAATCATATTTTTTTTTAAGTTCACGAAAAGTTGATGTATGCAGATCTAAAAACCTTCGTACTTTACTTGCAAGTTTTATGTAATTTAAAATCACATTTTACATTTTGTTACGGATGGCACGACTTCCTAGAAACACTTTTACCCGAGGATTAATTTATTAGTCGCCATTTTGTATCGTTAATCAATATCAACTTTTTTAATACACTCAAATAAATCATTAACAAACCCTAATTGAAATAAGTTCAATTGATTTGTCTTTACTCCCAGAATATATGCTCAATTTTCGTTTTTTACCGGTGTGGCAACACTTATACAAACTACAAACAACACACATATGCATATATTGCGTGGGCAATGAGAGAAATGTGTAATGTATGTGAAATTTAATGAGTCAATTTGATTGCAGCGGACATGCTGCGTGCATGTGTACATATGTATGTGTTGCATCACATATCTAAGCATGTGAATGTATATTATAACCTTAGAGCAAGTTAATTTTTTCGTTGACAAAGCAACCTTGATTTCTTTGAACTATAAAATGCGTTTCTTCACTTACTCCAATAAATATGTTAATATTCCTAATTAGAATTAATTCGGAAAAATAACTAGAAATTTAAAAAAAATATTTACAATTCGTATAGAAAACAAAATTTTGTTAAAAAAAATATTTACAATTCGTATAGAAAACAAAAATGTTGTTACTAATACTTGAAGCTTTCGTAATGCTCATAATTAAAAATTACTAACTGTCATTACACTCAAACGCGAGTTTACTCAAACGCAAATGCGCTCGATTTAATTAGTGATTTTATTTATTATTTTTTGTTTCTTTGATATTCTTTTTTGCACTTTCCGCACTTTAGACGCGATGGCAGTGGCGTTGGATATCGAGCTATAATTTACTGATAAAAGAGAACACGAAATTGAATAAAAATTCGGTCGAGCAGCTTTTATTACTTACATACATATATGTATGTATGTCCATATGTGTAAAGCTGTACATACTTGTAGTAATTAGCGCATATGTATGCTGTACTTGTATGTTGGTAGAAATGGTTTTTGGGCTTATCAGCAATTTTGTCAACGTTTCACTTATGTAGTATTTAATTGAGTGATGGCACCCTCTAGAAAGATTCAGCTCGGTGAACTTTAGATTTTCATCAATTAAATTTCATGGGAATGAAATATGTTTGAAATAACAAAAACAAAACTAGAAAGCACGTAACTCTAAGCTCGAATTATTGTTATATTTTAACGTCTACAATGAGAATTAAATAGCAACAAACAGAGAAAGTGCAAAAATGTACTTAAGTGAAAAATTAATTTAAACATCTGCTTATTCGAAACAGATATGTTAATAACATCTGAAGCTGTATATTAGAGCTTAACAATAATTTAACAAACCGTTTTTTTTTTACAAAAATAATAAACCTCTAATTGGGCATAATAATAACTTAACAGGTGAGATAACTTTTAAAAATACTTCAGAAAATAGTTGGGGGATTTTTCTATTTCTTGGAAATCGTTTACAATCCAAAGCACAAGTCAACAGCAATCTCTAAATTAAATTTCACAATCTGTTTAAAGATACTTGTGAAATATTTGGCTGTATGGCCAACAGTAACTGGTTCAACCCGGGTAGGAGTGGGTACAAATGCTGATTTAAAGGGTTCGATTGCAGTCTTTGTCATATTACTAAGTACCTAAACGCAGATATTACTACACATACGTATCGCGAATAATTTTTCAAAACAAAACTTTGAGCAATGCAAACTGCAAATTTTCCTCTTTGCGTGATTTTACTATTAAAAACTTTAGATGCAATTAAAAGAAGAAAACAAAAACTGTAATAGAAAAAAACAAACTGGGGTAAAATCCCGAGCATTTGCTTATAAAGTCTTTTTGCACATACATATGCAAGTTTATTGATATTTAATTTTGAAAGTGTGCTGATACTTAATCGATATACATATTGTATATGTATATTCAAAAATATTTGCGGCTTATCTTCTATCGCTTACGATTTACGCCGATCACAAGAGAGTGCTTTCGTGATACTTCCAACTTCAATTCATCAAAAAAAAAAATTTTAATAATTTATACTGGAAGTATATACATACCTGCCTGTTATCTCGGAAAGTCATATTTTCAATTTATTTATATCCGAAATATTAATACTATTGCTTGTATATTTACATAGCTTGAAAATCGATCCAAAGTGATTCATAAACACTAATTGCATACCTGCAAAAATTGCGACATTGAGATTGCAGTGACATTATCTCGCGCGTAAAATCTGATATATGTTTAAACTCGGCGACAACAAAACAAGTCACAAATTGTTCATATAACACCCTATATAAATGGTGCGAAGTTCAAATTCACCAGTTTTTGTTGACATTTCTACACATTTTCGGAATTACGCTATCATTAGTGTTATATCCCTTGAGAGTGTATTGGTGTGATAGAAAGTCCAATCTAACGTATGAGCCTTTCACATTATTGAATTGTAAAGTAACGTTAATTGAAGCAATTACTAGACATTTGCTTCCATTAACGTTCTCTATTAAAGCATAGAAAATCGTTTGGAAAGTATAAATCCATAGTACATATCAACCAGTTCAATTCCGATTTACGCATATCGGTGATAAGAAGTGGGGCTAAAATGCTCAACTTTGTCGCAAGCTATGTGGAAAAGTCTATTAAAATTTGAACACTTTACTAATATTTTCTACAACTATAAACTATATATACAACTTTGAGGGACATGTGCAACCGCTACGGACAAGCTTATGCAAAACTTCGAAGCATACCTGTAGGCGCAGTAACAGTAAAATGTGCAAGCAAACAAAATTGAGTATTTTAAGCTTTTGTTTTATTTGGTTTATTCAGTTAATGGAAATATACATATATTTCACTAAAAAGGAGAAAATCTGAGCTTGAAAATGTTCGAACCATAGGAGTCTAATAATTTTAAGTTAATACTGAACATCCACTAACAGTTAATCTTTGATCAGCTTTTGGGTTGAAACCATTAAATAAAGGTGCTAGAGGTAGTTTTAGTCTGATTAACATTATTACCGAAATAATGACCTAAAGTGTTTCCCTTATCGCATATACAATAAAAGTAAATATGCCGTATATGCACCTGGTACTACCATAAAGCTTTTTTTCTTTAATTATGAATCAATACCGCTCTTCATTAAATCTATAATAAATGTTGCATAACTTCGCCTCTAAGAAGGTTTTTTTTTTTTTAATTAGAGAATAGCACTTTTACTTAGTTTTTCTAATTATTTTAAACCTAGTTCTGCGAGGAATTTAAAAATTCGACCCAAACATATAGACTAACAAATAGGATGTGGCGAAAGTTGCATTCCTTTGCCATTTAAATATAAATTTACAAAAATTTTTTTTCGTAAAAAAAAAAATAATACTTAAATATAAGAGAGCTTTTGAAACGTTTAACCTGTGTATGTCCAAAGCTTTCATTTATACATAAAAAATGTACTAAAAATTCCTACTAATTAAATATTTTTAATGAAAGTTTTTAATAACTAAGCATAAGATAAATACTTTATATAAAATTATGCCGAAACAAATTATTATCGAAAACTTACTACTATGTTTTTTGGGTTTTGTGTTTTTTAAATTGTTTTTTGTGCTACTTAAGCTAGGCATTAACTAAAATTTACTCTACTAATCGACTGACTGCAAATATTTATTACGTGAGTTGAACCTTTTGGCCCCTAAAACTATATCTACAGAAATGTTACAAGTCAGTGTCTTTAAAATATTAATAATTAATCTTATAAATTGTCAAAAATTAACTAGTTTTTAATGGTTAGTTTAAGTATAACCGAAGCTTTAGAACTTTTAAAGCTTTCATTAACAAAAATATTTCAAAAATTGCTACTGACAAAATATTGTCTATATTATACCATATGTTATATTTTATTAAATAAATAATATTTTGTACTTACTGTCATTCATGTCCATTAAGTGCAAATCTTCATCATTCAGAATTGAGTTAATAAATCCTTCAGTAGTGTGATTCATATCCGACGAAGAATTCTGTAAAAAAATTTTAAGAAAATAATTTAATCAAGAAAATATTAAAAATATATGTCATTTGGCCACTCACAGTGTAGTACATCATGTCGTGTTCCATTTTGTAAGCGCCCACATTACCGCCCGCAGCGCCGGCTGCTGCAGCTGCACCGCCATCAGCTTCATGACTGGAGTTGGTCAAATGCATGCTAGAAGTGACGGCTGAACCCAAATTATGGCCATAATGCGGCTGCGTGGGGCAAATATCACCCAACGTGGCGTTGGCATGCAACATGGCATGGTGGCTGTGATGGTGTGGATGCGGCGGTGGTGGCGGCGGATATTGAGCATGTTGTGGTGGCGCTGGTATGCCAGCAGCACCCTGGTACGAATATGGATGGGTGGGATAGTGGGGATAGGGCGGCATATCGGAGACACCGCCGACTACGCCCATGCTCGATATCGGATTGAAAAAGCTGGCGATATCCTGTAAGCGTTGCTCCATCGAAACGCCACGACTGAGGGACATGCGACCCTGGAAAGGTGAAATAGAGGGTAATAAAAATTTATTTCGTGAAAACTGAGAAGAAAATATATATTTAACTGGAGTTTGAGCACTCTTTCATCTGTGTGTCTATATGTATGCTCATCAACATATTTTCTGTCAGTTTGCCTACGTAGCGGTGATTAATTTGTTAATTTTGAGTGCAACAAAATGCATATTTCAACATTACCGTAATCGATGATGTTTTAACAAGGTGCGAGCGAGGAGTGTTGTTGTTGCAAGAATAATTCGTGGGATTCAATAAAGTGGAAATAAAAAACACTCGAAAAGGGTTTGAAAACCAGCAATGCACGCCGAATTTTCGCTGCATTTGAGATCCATAAATAAGCGATCAATCATACAAATTTTTGAAATGTTCAACACAGCATATTCTCGCTTATATGTATGTATGTATGTGTGTACTGATGCATGAATTTATAATCACACCAACGCGCCCACAGACACACCGTAACAAACCCAAATACGCAACAACAAATAATACCCACAGGCAGCTGGCAAGTCATACATATGTATCTATAATCCCATAGAATAAATTCAATGAAATTAAAGAAAAACAAGTAAACCGGTGGCAAAAACGAGCGCATGCGCAATGTTGTGTTTTTAACACAACAAAAACAACCGTATATAAGAATACAACAGCAAAAGGTATATATGTAAGTATATAAAAGCAAATCGAGAAGTAACACATTCCAAAAGCGCGAAATTTTAAATTTTAGTCTTTTGAATGTGGCAGCTCTGCGCATAACCACATGAATAATAATAATAAAAAAAGAATAAAAATGAAAAAAAATATGTAAAAAAAATATTTGAAAAAAAACCAATTGAATTGCGAACAATGTATCAATCTGATCGCCGGCGATCGCCGATCGTTGATCGATGCTTAGCGCGCTTCGCCGCCACAAAAGGTATCCAGCTGCACGTTGCCAAAGAAAGATTGCACGTTCACACTGGCGACCATTGACGGATCGCGTCTTAAGATCGATCGAAATTAAATTGAAATGCTTGTGGTAGAAATTGAAGGCGCTTTTTCGATTTCGTTGTACTTGTAAAAAGTGACAAGTGCGCACAGGGGTGTCGGCGTGAGTTTCGTAAATCAGCAACATGAGCGGTTTTTCTAACTTTTTTGCTGTGAAGAAGCGGGTATTAACTTATATAGGTATATGTATACACATATCTTCATATATGTATATGGACTATTTGACTCATAGCATTTTATTGTTCTTTTTGCTACTTATTTTGTGCGTTACGTATTTTGTTTCTAATTCATGCTTTCATTTTTGTGGTGTTTTTTTTCTAACTTTTTTATTATTATAAAAGTTGAAGATCTGCAGTTAGCTCAGCATTCTAATAACATTGCGTAATTTATGCATATTTGCTGCTAATGACAGTACTTTTGGATCGATTTGGTAAACTTATAAAAAATCGACAAATCTAATGTAAGAAAAATTGCTTTGATTTTTATTTGTCAGCTCGTTCGAGGGGAAGTGATTATATATATCATTCAAGAAAGTTCGATGACGCTCTGCATGTTTATAAAGCTAATATATACTAATATTTTCAGAGGTATTTGAAACCGCCGTTATCTTTTTATATTTAGCTTTCTTCTACACAAATTTTGAAAATTTTAAGTTTTGAGATTTTTTAAACATCAATTTCTATATAGGTATAATCTATTGAGAATATGTAAATTTGGTTATAGCCGTGAGACGATAGCTTCAAAAGTGCTCATTCATATTTTTGTCAAGTCTTCAATGGAAAAGTTCTCGAAAATTGCCCTGGTTATACATATCTCTAAAAGTTTATGCGAACAAGTTGTAGTTATGTTTCAGGATTCAAATCCATAAACTATCAAGCATGACTCTCATCGAACTCAAAAAACAAATACATTTCTGAAAGAGTTGGGTATTAAGTATGGATTGATTAGACAGATGTTGAAAAAAATAAAAAAACGATTATATCAATATAAAATTTTATAAATTATTTTATATAAATAGTTGCTATTCTTGGCCTCAATTTGGCAGTTTGTAGATCGAAGAGAACAAACCAGCCTAAAACGCCACCAACGATTTTTTCTTAAAAAATAAAAATAAAGTATGATAAGGATTACTTCGAAATCTAACGAAGGCATAACTATTATTATGGTATTTTAATGAGAAATTGTTTGTTCGATTACCTTGAGATGAGATGGAAAATCATATAGTTATATTTTTGTGTATTGTTAACAACCATAATAGTGCTACTGCTAAGTTTTTTTTTGCAAAATCTAAGGCCTATTGACTGTGTCTGAGACATAACTTGATTTCATATCAAGTAAAAAAAATGCATATATAACTAGTGGGTACCGAACTATGTATATTCATATTTCTTAAATTTAATAACGTTAAACATGTAACCACTTTTAATACAGTTGTCAGTTCTATATATCACTTTTTGAAATAATCATGAAGTCTGATCACTGCGATTTGGGGTAAAGTCATTGCGATATGTAAAAAAAAAAGCCTCGAAGGATGGTTTTACCATACTGTAAATATTTTGAAAGACATCGGTTTCTTTAAACGTTAGTAAAGCAAACGCAATAAAATATTATTCTCTGCAGAAAAGTTTTATCGCCAATAGAATCTTATACTAATACTAGAATTATATTCTAGTACTTTAGAAAATAATTTAGTTGATTTTATAATTGAACGTACTCTATACAAATTTGAAATCTAGAAATTAATATTTTTTGGTTTTTAATATCTTTTCGGAAAACATTTTCTAACTTAATTTAGCGCCATAACTTGTAACTTAAAATCATCTAAGTAATAATTGTGAACTTTAAAGATTAATCGCACTGTTTTACGATTTAAAGGCAATCACAAAAACATATTTTTAGATTAATTGTTGTACGAAATTCAAAAGAAAAAGCTTTAAAAAAAATAGGTATGATATTTTGCAAATATTTGAATTTTGAATTATTTCAACTTTAGGGATACAATTTTTCAATATTTAGCTTAATTCATTTCGCAATTTTTATTAAAAAATAAAACTTATTATTAAATAAAAAATTTAATTAAATAATAAAATATATAATAATATTACTCCATTATCTCTGTACTCTTGGATTTTCAAATAGATATACAACAACAGAATATTAATTCTTTACCGCATCTACATATATTTCAATGAAATATCTGGATTTTCTAGCAATTAGCTGTAGTTTCAGACCGTATTATTTAAATGTCATGATATATTATTTTTTCGTCTCATGAAACCAATATTTTGCAAATCAATCAAAAATATAATTCATATACCTGAATCAATAATTTAGTTGTTACTTATTGTTGGGCAGCACCAAAATTCATACTTTCATAGCATGCGATAAATTTAAAGGACTGAATTCAGCACAATTCGTTTACAAATAATTTTAAAAATATTTTGGTACACTTTTTTTATTATAGTTTTATATGGCTTATACATGTACATACAAGTATATAGAAATGCACTTTTGGAGCGTCTGTCAAACGCGCGCACAAACACACAATTTCCCACTCCGAACTGTCAATCACGGCTTAAATGTTCTTATTTTGTAAGCGTGATAAACTCAATCGTAGCGATTTGTATTTCGGCGCGCGTATCTTGAAACGGCGATCAGTCACAAAAAGGCGAAACAAAATTTCAAGAATATGGCAAAATAAAACACGATTTATACGATATATGTGTCCGACAAAATGCGCCAACAACTAAGCGTTTGACTTGGCTTACAAACTGAAACACTGAAACGACATGTTGCAGCACAGCAAAACCGACTGGCTAACTGACAAATTGAGAATGCGCAACGGTGAACTGATGCACACGGAATGATGTCCGAAGCGGCGGTGAGTGACGAGCGGTAAGCGGTGTGCTGTTGCTGCTGCCGATGATGATGCCAGTGAGGAAGGCTGGACCAGCGCAACATAAATGCACACAAACACAGAGAAGTTTATAGATGTACACATATACGTATGTATGTATATACATAGGTAAGCATACAAGCATATATATTTGAGACCATTTTGCTTGCATGTGTGCATGCGTTTGCCTACTTGCCACAGTAATGATGGCTTAGAAATTCCCAGTCGGATCCGAGCATGCCAAGTGTAAGTAGTGAGTAAAGCGGCAAAATAAACAACCGACTGTCGGAAAATGTACTATGTAAACGTAAACGGCTTAGTGCCGGTACATACACACACACACGCACAATACAAAAAATAATTTGTATGCATGTACACCGATGAAAACGTCCAGTCAGCGAAGAAGCATAGTTGGAAAAAAAGTTTAAGACGTGTTTGTAGGCACAGGTAAGACACGCACACTTACACACATACAAACACATATATTTACGATATGCATACATACAACTACACCTATAGTTAATATGTTTGCGTTTGCGTGATTCTATTTGTATGTAACATATATATGTACATACATATATGGGTGTGTGTTTGTAAACGCTTGGCTTTATGCAATGGTTGACTGTTTTTATTGTCACCATTAAAACTACTGGTGTTTGTTATTGACATCAAATAGACGCTCGCTACGGAAGCAGTGATTGTTGTAAGCACAAATCAATCGAACAAACACACACATGCATACATACAGACACATATGCACACAGCATGCATATACCAAATATGCAAAAGTGTTGATATTTGTTTCGTTATATTTATATGGTCTACTGCTGTGCGGTTCACACGCAGCTTTGAAAGCGAATAAAATATTATATTATTACATTGTATGCCACTACAACAACAACACTTGCACACTTGGCGCTATTTTTTTGAAAGCTTAACTGGCGGCTGTTCTATTTATTTACATATGTAATTATTTGCGAGTAATTTGCCATTTACGCCCACAACGACAATCGAGCGTGTGTCTATTAGAGATGGTGAATATTAACCTCGGATTATTTGATTTCAAATTTTAAATCTATAGACATTAATATGGAGCTA